CGTAAGGTGCTGAGCTTTCGTCCGTCCTATGACGAACATCATCAGAGCAAGGTATCATCATCACAACCAAATTCAAGCTGACAAGTCTAGAAAACTCAGCGGCGGCGCAACTAGTCTTTTCTTTTCTTGGTCCTAATCATAGTCACTTCTCTGTACTTTTATCTCACTCTTTCTCTCTCACATTAAGGCTAATCAGCAAAACCAGATGTGTGTCAGACTTTTCGCAATCGGAGTGATGGTTATAACATGTATATATAAAGGGGGAGATGGGGATTATCAAACCTTTATGGCCGATAATATATGCTACTTTTGCTGTCCTAATTACTTTGAGTCATCACTGCGGGTTTCGGGCATAAGCGAACACAAACAGACCTATACACATACAGACACACGAACAGGCTTTGACGCTGACATATGACCATAACTAACCAAATCACTTAATACATGATAAAGGAGCTCATATATAGAGTATATATTCCGCTTTTTAGAGATTTGCGGTGAGTTTTCTAGACTTGTCAGCTTGAATTTGGTTGTGACGATGATACCTTGCTCTGATGATGTTCGTCATAGGACGAACGAAAGCTTAGCACTTTTCACCGGAATCGAAGGCGATCACCTCGCAAACAACGTCAACATGAATGTTCCAGTAAAGCCAATCGACAGCTGGTCAAGAGGAATCCGGCATCGTCTTCTCGTGGAACCGACCTTCGAATCTCTTCACCCAACACTTTCACTCGAAATGGAAGTAAGCTCAACAATATTCAGTTACATGCTGAACTCTACAGAACTTCGCTCTGACTCTGCTAGCTCAATATTTGAGACAAAAACAGGCAAGCACGTTCATGTTGGAGTGCCTTTCACTTGTTTGAAGAGGTAAGGGGAAGCGATTTCTTAGATGGTTTCACAGAAAGATGAAAGGCTGTTGCCTTGGAGCTGCGACTGTAGATTTAGGCGAATAAGCCATCAGCCTCACCGTCTTGTGGCCTTGATTTGCCAAAACAAGAAGACAAGAAAGATGGCCGTCTGCGATCCTACCTACTTCTTATAGCCTAACTCTGCCAACTTAATGGGACATTACACGATTTGGTTGAATATTCTATGATGATCTCACTTGTTAAAAAGTGAGGGTGCTGTAGATGAAGCCTGAAACGGGAGTACCTATTGCCAAAACAAAACGCTATTTTGTCACCATTTCCAAGGGCTCTCAACTATTGGCTACTGCAACGGCCGGTTGGTGGTTGAGGCTTCATGTGATATGTAATGAGATGTATTCACCCTATTTCTTGTAAGGTGATGAAGGACTGATAGTAGAATTTTCCCACATCTCATTACACTGATTTACTGGTAGTCTCGA